TGGCAAAAGCAAAGGAGGCGCAGAAATAAAGGACTCGTTGTTGGGACAAACAACAATAACCCTAACAAGATTAACACCTGATATTAACTTAGAAGATTTTGAATTGATGGTAAAAGTACACTTTCCAGAAGCCAAATGTAAAAACCATCAATCAAAATACCCAGAGGCTTATGCATCCTTTAAGGTAACTATTAACCAATCAAATTTCAGGAGAGCTTGGCAGAGAGATGTTTGGCCAAGTGGATCACCAGTTTCTAAATTTTTTGCCAGAAAAAGGATGCCAGCACCGATGAATGTAACAATGGATCCTTCAAACTAAACAATCAAGTAAACCCAGACAAACTAGAAAAACCAGATACAAATGTAGCACAAACAATCCCGTAAGTAGTAAGCTGCAAACCTCTTTTAAATCCCTTAACCTAGATTTATATTATCAGAATGTTCGTGGTTTAAGAACCAAAGTACATGACTTTTATACTAGTGTATTGTCTTGTGACCATGATATTATTTTAATTACTAAATCATGGTTAAATACTAGTGTCCTGGATGGTGAGCTGTTTGACAATCGGTATAATGTAGCAAGAAGAGATAGAGATAACAATAAAACTCGTGGAGGTGGGTTGATTATTGCAGTTAAGGAAAATGTAGTATTTGAACACATTAATTTTAACACTAACAGTGAAATTGAATGTTTAGTAGTAAAAATAAAATACCACAAATGTAATTTATTATTAATATGTGTGTATATTCCACCTTCTGTTTCTATGTTAGTTTTTAATAACTTTTTAGTAAATGTTGAAAATATTGTTTGTGATAATGTAGATGTCTTTATTGTTGGAGATTTTAATATACCTAATTATGTATTAGGCACGTGTGAGAAAAGCTTGAGACTGAATCAGTTTTTAAGTATATGTGGTCTATGTCAAATAAATTCAGTAGTAAATTATATGGGTAGAAAGTTAGATTTAGTGCTATCCAATGTTCATGTAGTTTGTGCTAGAAGTAGTGATCCATTTGTTCAGGAGGATAACTACCATCCTTCTCTTAACTTAAAAGTGCAGCTCAAAGGTCTCAACAGCGATAAACATAAAATTCACTCATCTTTTAAATATGATTACTCTAGGGGCGATTTTCTGCTGTTGTATAATCTAATTAGATCAATAAACTGGGTTGGATTAAAACATTCCAATGATGTAAATATTGCTATACAAACCTTCTATGATAAAATGTTTGAATGTATTGAACAAGCAGTACCTAAAAAACAAAAATCTAACAATAGTTATAGTAAATACAGTTTTTCTAAATATTTTTCTAAAGATTTAATTTGTAAAATCAAAAAGAAAAACAAGCTACATAGGCAAGTGCAGGGTGAACATGTTAATATCAAAATCCAGAATGAGTACAACTGTCTTAGGAAGTCCATTAAAATACAAACAAAATCTGAGTATATAAAATATCATGACACTGTAGAAACAAATGTTAACATGGACCCAACTAGTTTTTGGTCATTTGTGAAATTCAGAAGTAGTTCCAGGGGTTTACCATCAGAAATTAATTTAGACAACAATATTTACACTGGTTCTGATGAAGTTTCTAATGCTTTTGCAATATACTTTAAGTCAGTCTATAGCATCTCATCTGATATGAAAATACCTAAGTTTCATGGTATTCTAGAGTTTGATGAGATAACTGAAGAAGCCATTAGAGCTGGTGTAAAAAAATTATAACCCAAGAAATGTACAGGTAAATATAATCTACCTGCTTATATCTATAAGGGGTGTATTGATCAACTTGTTGAACCATTACAGGTTATATTTAATCTAGCTTTAAAAACTAAAACCTTTCCTAAAAAATTAAAAGATACCATTACAGTTCCTATTTTTAAGTCTGGTAATATTAATGATGTAAAAAATTACAGACCAATTAGTATTTTAAATTCTTTGGCAAAAATATTTGAATCTATTTTATATAACAACTTATTACAACATTTTATCAAATCTTTTAATCAATATCAACATGGATTTCTACCAGATAGATCAACACTTACAAATTTGTGTATTTTCACGCAATCTACTGCAGATGCCATAAATACTAAGAGGCAAATGGATGTAATCTTCACTGATTGTGCAAAAGCATTTGATAGGGTTGATCATGGTTTATTACTAGAAAAACTGGGCACCTTTGGCCTTTCTATTAACGCATTAACATTTTTAAATTCGTACCTAGCAGATAGAAGTCAGCAAGTTAGAGTTGGTAATTCTTTCTCAGAGGAATATTCCGTAACTTCTGGAGTTCCTCAGGGCAGCAACCTTGGACCACTCTTATTTGCTTGCTTTATAAATGATCTTTCTAGTTGTCTCAAATTTTCCACTTGTTTAATGTTTGCAGATGACTTTAAGATGTTTAGAGTTGTAGAAGATCAATGTGATTGCCAATTATTACAACTAGATTTGAATACAGTATCTAATTGGTTTCAGATAAATAGAATGGATCTAAATATTGACAAGTGTTCAGTTATGACCTTCACACGTAACAGGAACTTTATTAAAATGGTTTATTGTATAAATAATAGAGAATTGCCCAGAAAATCTGTGTGTAAGGATCTTGGGGTGAATTTTCAGCAAAGCTTGCACTTTAATGATTACTATCACATTGTTACTAATAAGGCTTTTAAGATGTTAGGATTTATAATTAGAAACACCAAACATTTTAAGATGATATATAGTATAATTAAACTATATAATTCCTTGGTAAGACCACATCTTGAGTATGCTTCTGTAGTTTGGGCACCCCGTGCAGAAGTAAATATAGATTTAATTGAAAAGGTACAAAAAAAGTTTTTAAGATATCTATATGTTAGAAAATATAATTCGTATCCATACTTGGTGTCTTACCGGAGTATGCTTGAAACTTTTAAACTTGTAACATTGGAACAGAGACGAAAAATGCAAGCAATGCTATTTGTATATTATATTGTGAATAATTTAAAATATAAAGGCTTATTCTTGATTAACTATATCAAATTCTTGGTACCTAAGATTAACTTAAGGTTAAGTCATAGAGGGCTGTTTTTTTCTATTTGTGAGACAGACTGCTCGCCCATTAACAACATGATGAGGCAGTGCAATATGATACTAAAAAAAAATAGCGACATAGATATCTTCAACACCAACATCAAAGCAATTAAATCTAGCTTTTTATCCGCTTTAATCATTTTATCTTAGCATGTAGGTATATCTAATGTCAAAATCCCTACTTGTAATTACATTTTATTCTGTAAAATGTGTTTGTTGTGGAATAAATAAATAAATAAATAAAACTAAATGTATGACAATAGCAAAAGATCCGCTCAGATGTAAGTTAGTGGTTGAGGACAACCCCATAGAACAGGTGATGCAATTCAGATATCTGGGCATAGATATATCAAGTACCCACGACCCAGTTAAGGACGTGAGGAGTTAGATCAACATAGCATCTGCACTGTCAGGATGTCTACGGGAGATAGTCTGGTCAAATCCGTATATGCGCACAGATAGTAAAATTAGAATCTATAAGACTTGCATACGACCGATCATGACATATGACATAGAAGTGCGTGAAGATACCAACAAAACGAAACAGATGCTAAGGGTTGCCGAAATGAAAACCCTAAGAACAATAATGGGGAAAACAAGAAGAGACAGAGTGAGAAATACAAACATTAGAGAGCAGTGCAAAATTCAAGATATTGTAAGATGAGGAAGGCAGCGCAAGAGGATGTGGTACAACCATGTAAGACGAATGGATGAGAATAGACTCCCAAAAATTGCCCTAGAAAACAATCCGCCCGGTTCAAGACCCCCCGGATGACCACCTAAAAGATGGAGGGATAGTTGGCAATCTACCTATATTTCACATTTAATAAGATATTTCACTATTTCCATTAGTGCCTCTGCGAGACCTGTACAATCTTTCGCAGAGTTCATTTTGGTCTGTACAAAAGGGTCGTCAGGGGTAGGACGCGGGAGCGCTGTTGACAGTTTGGATCAAATCTGAACAATAGTCGTCCATTCTTCGATTGTTTTATTTTCAGCGATCAGCAATAATTCTTCTAATTTATCTTTAATAAAGTTATCCTTAGATTGTTTTGTTTTCATTGTATCTAAGCTCTATTTCTAGGTTTTCACTTTTTTATTTCATATATTGTCTTTTTTATATAGTGTTCTTCTAGCTGCTGCCCTAATCCCTTTTATATTGTGTACGTTTTTCATCTGACGGGCTTGATAGATTTTTTTTGTATTTTTTAGGTTTCTTTTACAGGTCTTGATCGAACTATTTTTTTTTAGTCTTTCTTACAATATCGCACACTTAGTATTAAAAGGACACATCTCGAAAATTAGGGTTTCTGAGATTTTGGTATAAATGGACACAAAACTACTAGTAGTACAACTTGGCCTGGACAGAAATTGAAAACGGAGTAAATAAAGAAAGTCCCGATATAATGTGACCCTTTCGTACTCCCCTCTCCGCCAACACCTCTTCCTGCTAGATAGGCTCGTTCAGTAAGGTGCCGATCTCTGTCGAAGCAGGTGTGTTAGTGAGCGCTCCCATTACGAGTTGAGCCCTTCTATTACAAAACTTGAGGTACGTGTTGTTTTATATTTTTTATTTTATAAAGACGCATTAAGATTAAATGCTGTATATTACTAAAATCAAAAATTTATGGGTTTATTTAAAGAAAGTTCTTTATATTACTAAAATTATTGTACGATTTTTGGAACTATATCTAAAGGATTCTTATTTTTACAAAAATATCTGTTTGATTTACAACATCATTGAAAGTTAAATCCTTAGAATAGTAAAATAATTCAACGAGTTTCTTAGTTGGGTACATAAACTACAAAGTTTTTCTGTACTAAGGCCTTAAATATTATTATGATATTATGTACTAGCAGGTAATAAATAAGATAGTAACTATATCTTAGCCTCTTACAGATACATTGCAAAAAAATTGAAGAAATATGTCAACACGATCGCGAAGAATTATGAACCTTCTTAATGTTTCACATCCACCTGATCAATGGGAAAACAGTTGCGATAAGGACCCAAACGTAAGTTTATAATTTACTAACATATATAAACTACTTACATATTATTTTGCATTTTTAGGTCAGCAATGAAGAAAAAGAGAACATCCCTTTAAGTTCATCAGAAAACGTTTTAAAGCAACAAGAAATAGCCGATAATACTCTGCCATTACAAAATAATTCTTTGGTTGAGACTAACACTGTTACTGCAACAACATCAAAACGTTCGTCGAGATCGTCATCTAGTAGTTCCAGTTCGTCTTCTAGCATCAACAGTAGCAGTTCGTCATCTTCTAGCAGCAGCTCTTCGTCTCGATGTTGTTCACTGGAACAAGGACGATTTGTTTCCGATATCCTAAAAGGTAAAGAAATTAAAGCCCAGTCTCAGTCTTTATTATCTCGAACTACTTCACCTTCAATACTAGAAGCCCAGTCCCAGTCTTTATCAGCTAGAACTACTTCACCTTCAATACTAGAATCCGTAATTTTAACACCACGAACTCCAGCTGTACATTACCGTATATCGCCAATGAATTCAAAAGAGAGTGATGCTGATAGTAGTGACAATGATCCCACTTATAATGAACATCAAGGTAAAAAACGTTCGCCAAGCTCATCTTCAAGTTCCTCTGATGATGGTACTTCTGAAGTAGTTGCAACATCGCCCAGGAGATCGAAGAAACGTAAAGCTGATCCTACTTAATGGAGGCAAAATAACCAAAAGATAAATGAAATGCAGAAGAACAATACATTTCTACTAAGACTAAAAACGTTGTTCCTGCGCATTAAATGAGTCCATGCAATCAGAAATGCAGACTGAAATGCAGCGAAAATTTTGATGAGGCTAAAAGATTTCAACATTTCAAATGTTTTTGGGCACTAGAAGATTTGCAGTTACAGCGTATGTTAATAAAAGCAAGAATGGCTATAGTTGAAACTAAATATAAGTGTTCAAACGCTCAACATCCCAAAGCATTAAATGCTGCTTTCTACTTGTACGCTGATAATGCCAAAATCAGAGTCCGCAAAACATTTTTTATTAATACGTTGGGGATAACAAGTAAAATGATTCGCACAGTAAGATATAAGACTAACAATTGCAATTCTGTTGAAGAAGCTGGAAGAGGCAAAAATAATAGTCATAGACGCGTGGATGATAATCTGAAAGAAGATATCATTAGATTTATCAATCTAATACCACGAATTGAAACGCATTATTTAAGAGCGTCAACCTCAAGAGAGTTTATAAGTGGACCGAAAAGTATTACTGACTTGTTTAGAGACTTTCAAGAAAAACAGAAGAAATTCTCCCGAGATCCTGGAAAGTTTGATTTGTTTTATGAGATTTTTACTACCCATTTTAATTTGGGTGTTTTTCAACCCAAGAAAGATCAATGCCATCTTTGTTTAAAGTGTAAAAACTCTTCTGCTGATCAGAGGCTTGCTCTCAAAGTCAAATATGATACTCACCTAGAAGAAAAGGAATTAGCCGAGCAGAAAAAAATAATGATATAATGACTCTTGATAAATAGGTATAATTTATGCGTTTGCTACGATGTTAAAGCGATAATGCAAAGTTCCAATGGAGAAACACCATCGTTTTATTATAATGAAAAATTGAATAGCTACAACTTTACTTTGACTGTGTTAAATAAATTACCAGAAAATGAAGAGGATATTAAAAGCTATGGTGAAGTGCATGGCTATTTCTGGGATGAGACCCAAGGAAAAAGAGGTGCAGTGGAGATTGGAAGTTGCGTTATGGACTTTTTAAAGAAGGTTTGGGAGGATGTAGGTGAACATGAAGTTAACGTAACATTTGTAACAGATAATTGTTGTGACCAAAACAAAAATAAATACATAGCTTCTTTATATATGTTTGCAGTCACTACTATAAAAAACTTAAAGGCCATAACTCACAAATTCCTTATAAAAGGTCATACGCAAAATGAAGCCGACAATGTACACATGCTGATACAGAAACAAATATCAAGAGATTTAAAAGCTGGTCCAATCTTTACACCACCGCAATTCAGAGAGCTAGGAAAACGGAGAAACCCTTAATCGCTCATACTTTGAACCATGATTTCTTTTACGACTTGAAAAAATTTACAAGTCAAGTGGGGATATAATTTCAACGTTGACGAAGAGAAGAATACCATTGTATGGAATCACATCACAGTTATGAAATTAACGAATGGGAACCCATTTTCTTTTCAATATAAAACATATCCATCAAAACAGTTTATAGTGCGCCATTCGAGTTAAGTTAAAATAAGAAACAGGATTTAAAAGAATTAATTTCTAAAAGACTTATTGACCCTTATCATGCCTGTTACTATAATAAAATGGTAATGTGACTGTTTTCTAATTGTAATTTTTAATAATTTGTTTTATTTTTGAAATGTTTTTCGACTATTACTAAAAACTTAAGCCTGCTGACTATTTTTTATTTTATCTTTCTTTAGGTACTATTCAAATCGTTAGCTATTCTATTCGAACATGACTGATTGATAAAAATGAATATGATAGGTCTTAAGCGCTAGCACAAAAGAAGAATGATTTTATGTTAAAAAAATTTGTTAATTTTTTTGTCTAGTAAATTTAGTAATTTTTTGTGAGATCTACTTTAGTTTTGTGTTACATTATAAACGTTAAGACAATTCTGGTTTTTTTATATGACTGCCCTAAAAAGAGTGTTATAGTTTTTGTTATTGGATTTGTATGCTACATGCCTATTACTTTTTAATGTTTTTCAGAATAAAGTTCCTTTATAAGAGGCATTTTTATCATTGAAAGTAATTAAACATTATTATTACGCAGCCATATTTAGATTTGTTACTTAAAAACATAGTGTATCTTTAATCATTAAAAGGCTTAATTCGTAAGATGCCTTCAAAATTTAATGAAAATTAGTGGAAGAGGGGCCTATCTTGGAAGATATTTTTTGAAACGTTTTTTTTTTAATTAAATTAATTTGTTTGTAATATTTTGATTATCCATTATATAGTACAAATACTGTAAATTGTATAACTAGATTTTTATTTATCTATATTTTCAAATAAAAATGTTATAGGTGAGTAAATGAAAACGATGAAGTTGTTTAATATTTAATCTCGTTTTCCTAAAAGTAACTATTTTCGAGATGTGCCCTTTTAATACTAAGGGTGCGATATATTCCTGCTGATCCTATGATAGTTATTTGAATGAAGTGCCATGTTGTCATCTATAACTTCTCTCTCATTTTCATTCATTTTCAAAACCTAAACTCTATTTCTAACTGCTACTGTCTTCCGCTCTCTTCTTCTTCAAGTTTCGCTACATTCCTTATTTTGGTTTTCATCACTTATCTATTGTTTGTACTTAGATTCAGATTCTGAGCTTTGCTTTCACAAGAAAACAGTCGCTGTCGCTTTCTAGTCCTCTCGTGCATCTTAACTGTTGGTTGGTAACTAACAGTTTGATTGAAACCGCTGATAATATTAAAAGAACTGCGACCAGGATATATATTAATGGTACTCATATATAGCTTTGATCCATTTTTGTCATATATATATATATATATATATATATATATATATATATATATATATATATAGGGTGATTTGAAACACAATTTACAAGAAGTACACTAAATAACAATGTAAAATACCACTTAACATTTTAATCAGAACTATTTGTATGACTTGATTTTTGTTTGAACGTATCATCATATTCTAGGCACACATACCTATTTATTTCTTAAATCTTCTTTTCAAAATTTACGTGTCTCTAATATTAAACAGGCCCCCTTTTCAATAATTCATAGCTATAACTTGCGTGTTATATTTGTGTATAAATTTTGTTTCGGACCCTAACGATATTCGTCCATATTTATCAGCTTTCGACAGATTATTCCAAGTAAGGCTTCCCCTAAGGATATCACAACGAATCAACTGTCAATGCAATATGTTACCAAACATCTGAACTCACAAATCAGATTTTCGAACGTCTTACAGGAAACTCCCTTCGACAAATTCGGAGTAAAATGGATTTACTGGATACGGTGGGCATCTAGAAAGTAGATCAGTATTTAGAAGTATAGATACTGACTCACAGAAGCGTATTTATAATTCTTTACTTTTGTACTTTTAACTGATGTAAATAGTCAAGTTGTAAATCTGTGGTCTTTGAGAGACATATGATAACTCCAAAATGCATGTTTTTCAGTAGGGCAATTTTAACATTCGAGAAGTTAAATCGAATGCAATAAAATAAAAAATCAAATATATTGCATTTAATACTTTATTATTTGGTATAACAGATGTAACAAACGAAATATTTGTTACCATTTCTGTTTTTGATATAATGTCACAAATCATATTTGTACCAAAAATATAAAAATTTAAGACGTATTTTAATGGAGTTAACGCTCAAATAGGAGAGAACTTAAACTATCAATTATTGGTCAATTTCTTTTTATTAGAAAACAGTGCTGTGGAAATATATGACTTTACTTGCAACAAATTAAAACATATGCGTCAAAATTTTCATCACTTTTGCTTGTATATTGTGTGGTACTGGTTTGAATGTGTTTAAGGATCATTATACGCTGAAAGTATCTGAATATTAGACATGGAAGTTGACCTGCCTCTCCTTAGCATATGCATTGAACGAAACGGTTCATCGGGATTTAATATGTATTTGAAGCCCATATCTCTATCCTTTTTGTAATGTAGCCAAAATATGCTATTTCAAACAAAAGGATTTTTATCATTATCAACATTTCTTTAAATAAAATGCGTTGTTAGAAGTTTGGGAAATCCGAAAAAAATTTGCCATTTTAATTACCGATACCCAGTCCTGTAGAAATGAAATTATAGCGTTTCTTTTTGTCGCAGACCTCTGTATACTAGTATGATCTGAATAACGTTCTAAATAAGTATTACCAGGAATTAGGAACTTATAATGAATTTCCTTTTCTTCAAGTGCTCTTACAAACATAATCGGTAATATGTTATTTCGGTTTTTACCTGGGCACATGTCAGAAGTTTTTCTACCTGTTCTGTTAAGTCTTTAATAAACTGAAATAAGCAAAATGTGATCTCATCAGCTGCTCGTTGAGCTAAACCTTCATGCCACACATAACAGGATGTCCGGTCTGTGGTGATATTGTTGATCGTCAAATAGAAAGCCACACTATATTATGTCAAATTAGGAGTCCAAAAAGGAAGCCTTATCCTAGTGTTGTTGGCGTTCATTTTCTAATCTTTGCTTTTCTTCTTCGAAAGCACAGTTTTTTATTTTCAGAAATAATCAATCACAGGTTTTGCAAGTGTCATAAGATGGCTTTTTAAATTTTAAATTGGGAGTTTTAAATATGTTTGGAAAACACTTATACTCAAGGGAGCATCAGTGGTATAATACGTAAGATCTGTCAATTTAATTCTTGCTTTAAATAGTGCTTTGAAGTGTGACTTCTACTGTAGTGTTTTTTATATTTTGAAAATGTGTTAATAAAATTTCGAGCAAATGAGATATCTAGTTCTGATCGCTTGTTAGCTGAAGGCTGCATACCTCTTAAATCAGACTTGAGTATGATAGTAGTAGGAGATACTTTCTTTTTTTAACATTATCTTAGAAACATCTTGTTTCGCGAAATACTTTAAAAAACCAACTAATACAGATATTACCATCCATATTTCCCAACTTAAAAGAACTGTAAGTTGTTTATTTTTGACTGAGTTACCACACTGTGTACATTCTCTAGGTTTTACTTTTATTAAACTAGCTAAATAACGTTTCTGTATATCCTTAATTGCCAAGTTTCTCTAGTTTCAAGAATTTTGCTTTAGATCAACATAGGCAGTCTTTTCATGACATTTTGCTTGACATTTTTCGGACACAGGTATCTAAGTTTTAGCTGAAATTCCATTATCTATTAAATATGACCATAGACTCATGGATAATTATGATAACTACAAAACAACGAATAGAAAAGTTTGATATATTTATGTTATTTACCACCTATATAAAAAAAAACTTACAGAAAATGCTATTTAAGTATAATATTTATTTGAACCGGGTTGTTTTCGGGCACATGATATAATATTTTAACGGGACTTTACCAAACACAATTTGAATAATAGGGACTTATCGATAATATACCAAGCCGTAGCAGATTTTCTAGATGTGATTGACATACCATAGTCAGATCAAACGAAAATAGATCAAAAACAAAATGCAACGCAGGACTTAACAAAATTTTTGCTATTTTGGAGTTATCATGTTTCTCCCAAACATCACAGAAATATTTTTAAAGATATCAGTAATTATCCAAGCATTAAAAATTTTAAATGAAAAAATTACACACTTACTACTTTAATTTCTTTTAGTTTATTTTTTGTTTCTAATCTTTTATTGTGCTTTTGTTTTTCATTTTACCGTTTTCAACACTTCCATACTTTTACCTCTATTTCTAGAATTTTATGACCAACATGATTTCTCCAACTATTTATTGGATGGTCTCATGCCAGAGCAAACTATGTACATTTTATTTGTTTTTGTCTTTTCATTGAGATTACGAGGCAAACTTTTGTTCTAAATTTGTGCCAAAATCAACTACGTGAATAACTGAAAACATAAGCTAGAAACTAATAAATTCTGTTTAGTAAAAGGTTGGTACTACTGGTAGTCATATGCCAAGTGAACCATCATCAAGTCCAAGATGACTTCCCATGCACATAGTTCACATCGTGATCACATTGTTGTTAGAAATTCTAGTGAAGATGAACTCGCTGATTTCAGTAGTGGGTTTTCAGATGATTATCATCCATGTTCTGATTCGGATATAACAGAATCAGATAAGATAATAATATTTATTAACATAAAACTTTATTATTAAAGTATGGTATTAAAAGAGTGCACACCGCGTAAAACCCAAAAGAACAAACATTGGATGTCAGGGGAAGCACTAGAGTTAGTGGAAAAAAGAAGAGCTATGCTAAAACATATCTCAAAAACAGGAAGCAACACTCAAGAAATAGCGGAGATAAACAGAAAAATAAAATGTATGTGCATCAGAGATAAAAACAACCATCTAAATAACGTGTGTCAAGAACTGGAGCAACATGCAAACCGCCATGAAAGTCATGAACTATTTAAAAAAGTTAAATATTTAGCCCGAGAGTTCAAGCCACAACTTCAAGCCACTCAAGACTCTAATGGAGAAGTAAAAACCGACATAGAGAGCATCGCAGAGACCTGGAAAAATTACTGCTCAGAATTATACAAAGACACTTCAAAAGATGACGCATCAGTCTCAGAACACAAAAAACATGCAATCAGAGAGGCTGAATCAATCATTTTACGAGCAGAAGTAGAGAAGGCTCTTAACCAACTAAGAAACAAAAAAACTCCAGGAATCGATGGCATAACAGCGGAGACTCTAAAAGCAATAGGCGAAATTGGCGTAGATGTAATGCTGAATATGTGCAACATGATATGGATCACAGGTGAATGGCCTGATGAGTGGTGTGAATCAACCTTAATCCCTATCCATAAAAAAGGATCACTAACCATATGCAGCAATTACAGAACCGTTGCCCTTATCCCTCATGCAAGCACAAGCCTGCTACATATAATCAATGAACGGCTAAAGAACTTTCTACTTCCAGAGATAGCCGAAGAACAATGTGGATTTGTACCAGGAAAGGGAACGCGTGAGCAAATACTCAACACCAGACAGATAGTAGAAAAAGCGAGAGAACCTAACATACCAATGTTGCTCTGTTTTGTAGATTACACAAAGGCTTTTGATTCAGTAAAATGGGATCCTCTCTGGAGTATAATGGAAAATATGGGAGTACCTAACAACCTAGTTAACCTAATGGGAAATCTGTATAATAAAAACTCAGCCAAAGTTAAAGTACATGGAATATATTCAAATGCATTCAAAACAGAGAAAGGAACTAGACAAGGTTGCATACTATCACCATTATTGTACAACATATATTCTGAATATGTAAATAGAAAAGTACTTGAAGAATGGGATGGAGGAATCACTATAGGAGGCAGAAAAATCAGTAACCTGCGATACGCAGATGACACACTTATACTAGCAGCGAATGAAGTCGAAATGATTACCATCATCGAACGGCTAAGCCGAATAAGTGAAGAATTCGGACTTCAAATCAACACCGGAAAAACAAAAATAATGATTGTAGACAGAGCAAATAATAATCTACCACATATACGCCAAATAGGGATTTTCGAAGTAGTCGACAGATTTGTATACTTGGGCTCTCTGATAACCAACAATGGTAATTGCTCCTCAGAAATCAAACGTAAAATAGGAATGGCCCGAATCGAAACTGCTAAATTATTTAAAATATGGAAAGACCGAACAATAACAAGGAATACTAAGCTCAGGTTGGTCAATGCCCTTATTTTTCCCATTGCTACATATGCAGCTGAAACATGGACTCTCAAAAAAATCGATAGGAGTAAGATCGAAGCCTTCGAAATGTGGGTATATAGAAGAATTCTACGCGTGTCCTGGACAGAACATAGAACCAACCTGTCAATTCTGGAAGAGCTTCATATACAAGACAGGCTACTAAAAAAAGTAAACCAAGCATACCTAACTTACTTTGGCCACATAGCTAGAAGAACGGACACCATGGAACTATTGGTAGTAGAAGGAAAGGTAGAAGGCCGAAGACCAAGAGGAAGATCTCCAATACGATGGGTAGACCAAATGAAGAGTTTGGTGGGAAAATCCCTACATGAAGCCGTCCATATGGCACAAGATCGCAGGCAATGGAGACAGCAGATTAACAATATTTAGGGTGTCACTACGCCCTGACAAGGGCTAAACGATTGAGGAGGATGTTTTGGAATGTTTCTTTTGCCAAAGCGAACCATGTGCAAATTTATTTCTTGCAGTGTCTGCTGGGAACTCTAGTGAAATATTAGCAGTTCTACCAACGTAAGAACATGGTTTTTACGTACCTTTTTTAGAATTAAGCAACATATCCCATCATTTTTGTATTGGAATTGTAAAAAAAATTATATCACATAGTTCACTTTGGCAAGAGAAAATCCAAACTGTCTGTCATATGCATAATGAATGTGTGTTTGAAAGTATTTTAACAGTATGTTTGAAAGTATGTATTATAACATAAAAAATAATGTTACTTATATAAAGCATTAACAATTTTGTGTCTTTTACAGATGAAGAAAATACCAGAGAATGGAAAGAACGTCAAAACAAGAAGAGAAAATCTGATCCTACAAAGTGAAAAAAAATATTCGCAAGCAAAAAAGGGCAGCTGGTAAAGAATATATTAATACTTCAGGTACTGTCATGCACTCTAAATCTTTTAATGACTATTCTTGCAATTGCAAAATGAAATGCCAAAATAAGCTTACAGCACAGCAAAAAGAATTTTTTTTTATTTGTCTTATAACGAGTCACAGTCTTGGGAAACTCAAACAAGCGTAATAAGTGGTGCTGTAAAATGTAGATCGATAATAAGACGTCGTAAAAACACTGATATTTAAAAAAAAATAGGAACTAGGTTTATTTTATATCCCTTCTGAAAATGGAGATATTAAACTGTGCAAAAAAATGTTTATGGGGATATTACAAATAAATAGTAGTATAGTACATCGTGCTTTGCTTATGGAAAAAGTGGAAATTTAAGTGATCTTAGAGGAAAAAAAATGCCACATAAAAAAACTTCACCATCCATAATGGATTCAATCAAAAATTACATACAAAGTTTCCCTACCATAGTAATTCATTACTATAGAACTCACTCCCAAAAAAAATACTTGAAAGTAATTTAAATTTTTCATTAATGTACAGACTCTATGTTGATAGTTTAAGAGAGAAAAATGTTGACAAAATTCCAAGCCAATCGCTTTATGAAAAAGTGTTGAGACGTGATTTAAATCTTAGGTTTAAACCTCCACAAAAAGATAGCAGTCAAACATTGAACATTGAAATAAAGGCAGCGGAGGAAAACAAAGATGAAGCAACGTTAAAAGCTAAGAAACTAAACCAGGAACTACACCACAGAAAAGTACAGTTAGCCCACTCACAACTAAATCAAGACGTGAATATTGGTAAAGAAGGGAAAGCTACAGTAATTAGTTTTGATCTTCAGAAAGTAATGCTTCTTCCTAAACTAACCACAGGAGTTGTTTACTATAAGAGGCAGCTTTCATGCTACAATCTTGGTATACATAATTTTGAAAATGATGTCGGGACAATGCGTGTTTGGGATGAGAGCACTGCCTCACGAGGTTACCAGGAAATGGGATCACGTATTTTAAAATTTATAAATAACCATGATCATAAGAACATATTGATTGCTTGGTCCGACTCATGTGGCGGCCAAAACCGCAATATTAATATTGCCTCTTTATGGATGTACCGGGTGGTCCAATAAGCCGATCTCTCGGCTATATATCAGAAACTAATAATTTTATAACTTTAGGAGATAAAAATCCTTAGTAAAAGTGGCCAAGAGAAATCGCTGGAAATAACTTTCAAGATTCTGGATTAACCGCTAGGGGGCGTAACCTACGAAGAAAATTTTGAAAACCAGTTTTTTGGGAAATATGTCCAATTATACTAAGTGTTAAATAAGTAAACTAGAAAGAGGCATAAATTCTGCACAAAGTTGTTCAAGTACTTTTTTTTTTATTTTTTCAAATAAAGGGTGGGGAGAGTGGGAAAGTATTTGTGGATAAATACCTATAACTTTGGTTTGGATCAACCGATTTTAACAAAATTAGTGTCATTAGAAAGAGTATGGATGAAATAATTTACATCTACTATAAAATAATTGCATTTAGTTTTAATTGTCGTAGGTAGAGAGTACTTTCGAATAGAAAAAATTAAAATTTGTTTTTCTTCAAAATTTTTAATGGAAACACCTATTTATTGTAAATTATAATGGAACTGGATTAAATTCGTAACAAAACGGCGTAAACCGCATGTTAATAGCTTTTATCGAACTCGAGATATGAATAAAAACGCATAAGCATAAGTAAGTATAGTATTGACACACCCTGTATTAAAAAATAAATTAAAAAATAACTCAGTGGGTACTTTCAAAATTTTTTATAGCAGAAAACTCGTAATGTTGATACCTATTTTGACCATTGTTATTTCATATGATTAAAAATTGTTTTTTCGAAACTAAGTAGGCTACGACAATGAATTTGACAGGGAGTTCATATTGTTTATTTATTGACAGCAGTCAAAATATTGTTAAGAAGTGTTATATGTATTATAATTCGAATTGAAAATTGCATTTTTTTCAATAGATATTAATATTGGTAATATTAGTAATTAGTTATCAGTACTAATAATTCGTGATGAGTATATCAAATTGTATGATATGATTGGAGTTTATTTCGAATATCACCAAAATGGCGCTATTGCCTCACGTATATATTCTGTAAGATATCCTGGCAGGAGATATTGTGGTAAAGAAGTAGAGATTTCGGACTACATATATGTGGATTCTGTTGAATTAAAGCAAGAACATTGATTGAATTATCTTCGGTCATAACTCTACTACGTCGTTTAAAACAAGAACGAGAAAAACTACCAGTTTCTCTTAATCTTTTTGCCTTTCTTTCAAATACTTCTTTGCTATAATGTCTCCTGTCACAATATCTTACAAAATATATACGTGAGGCAATAGCGGCATTTTGGTGACATTCGAAATAAACTCCAATCATATCATACAATTCGATATACTCATCACGAATTATTTGTACTGATAATTAATTACTAATATTACTAATATTAATATCTATTGAAAAAAGTGCAATCTTTAATTCACATTATAATATAGCACTTCTTAACAATGTTTTGACTGCTGTCAATAAATAAACAAAATGAACTCCCCGTCAAATTCATTGTCGTAGCCTACTTAGTTTCGAAAAAACTATTTTTTAGAAAATAGGTATCAACATTAAGATTCTTCTGCTATAAAAAAATTTGAAAATACCTACTGACTTATTTTTTAATGTAATTTATAATACAGGGTATGTCAATACTATGCTTACTTATGTTTATGAGTTTTTATTCATATCTCGAGTTCAACAAAAGCTATTAACATGCGGTTCTCCATTTTGTTACGAATTTATTCCAGTTCCATTATAATTTACAATAAATAGGTGTTTCCATTAAAAATTTTGAAGAAAAACAAATTTTAATTTTTGTTATTTGAAAGTCCCCTCTACCTGCCACCATGAAAACTAAATGTAAGTATTTTATAGTAGATGTGAATTTTTTTATCTACACTCTTTCTAATGATACTAATTTCATTAAAATCGGTTGGAACAAACCAAAGTTATAGGTATTTATCCACAAATACTTTCCCACTAACCCCCACCCTTTATTTGAAAAAAATTTAAAAAAATACTTGCACAACTTTGTGTAGAATTTGTGCCCCTTTCTAGTTTACTTATTTAACACTTGATATAATTGGACATATTTCCCAAAAAACTAGTTTTCAAAGTTTTCTTTGCAGGTTACGCCCCCTAGCGGTTAATCCAGAATCTTGAAAGTTATTTCCAGCGATTTCTCTTGGTCACTTTTACTAAGGAATTTTTTTTCCTAAAGTTATAACATGAATAGTTTCTGATATATAGCCGAGAGATCGGCTTATTGGACCACCCGGTACATAGTGCAGTGCCCTACCTTAAACATAAAGGAAGTAGTTCATAAGTTTGCTGAACCATGACATTCATATCCACAAAACGATAGCGATTTTGGTGATATAGAAAAAAAGTTGAAATATCATCCTGAAATTTATGTTCCTACATAATGGCATAACATAATTTCAAACTCAAGAGTTAAAAAGAACAAATTTAAAGTAGTATGCATGGAAAAAGAGGATTTTAAGAGTGCATTAAAACAAAATCTGGTAAACCGCAAAAAACACTCAGATGAACAAAAAGTAGAATGTTTAAAAATAAAACAAATAAAATTTACTCAAGACCATCCAGGAGTTATGGAATTCAAATACACACATAACAAAGAAATACAATGTTATTCAGTAAATCTAAACAAGAGACTGAAGGATGAAAATTAAGTCAAGCAAAACTTAATGATATCAGATCACTTTTGCAATTCGTACCACCATGCCATCATCAATTTTACAACAAACTTCAACCAAGTGAAGTATTGGAAGATAACATTGAAGAAGAGAATGACAATAACAATGAAGAGGAAAATGAGATGAACAATGCGATCTAAATATATAATTGGTTTCAAATGAGTGTAGAGTAATAAATCATGAAATGTCATAAAATTTGCCTGAATTTCGGTGTCGTCATGGGCGTAGGCAAATGGACGGATGTCAACTTCGTCGTTAAAAATTGATGTACCTCAAAATATCATATTTTGGATATTTTGTGATAACCAATTTTATTTAATTTTTCGATTAACTTATTCTTCAAACTCGTATTCCATTATATGGTCATTAAAGCTAATTACATTTTTATTTATAAAAACAAATTCACTTCCTTACTGAACGAATAAAAGCGTTAGAAGAAACTGATAAGGGTATGACGCACCTCCTAATATTACTAAGAACTAAAATAAATCAACATGAAGACTAATAACGCGTAATGAGGTTTTACTTACACTTTCATTATAATCCCTCTTTTATTTTATTATTATCATTCGACATTCGACATTCGAGTTAGTAATTGTTACTACACCAATTAAACGTACAGTAATATTGTGATATAGAAATAGTGAAAAAGTTATAAAATGGGGACATTTACTCCAAAGAAAAGAGGTGTAAAAAATTCTCCGCTATCTGTTAGTGAAAAAGTTATAATTTTAAATGTATATGATTGCATAAAACACGATCACCCTAGTTTGTCTGTGCAAGAAAGTGTTGAGCGATGTGCCCGAATGACTGGAATTGGACAGTCCACGATTTTTAAATTATTGCGAGAAAGAAAGATATCAGGCCAGTTAAGTCCATGCAAGAGAAAATCAGGAAGACCAATAAAAATCTTAGGTGAAGACACCAAACGTGACATTCGAAGAAAAGTTCATTCGTTTTTTTTTTAAAGGAAATACCCACCCTTGACAAAATACTAATGGAGATAAGCCAAGATAACTTTTATGGAAAACTTTAAAAAGTATGAATTTTTCCTGGGAAAAGCACAATCGAAAGGCACTATTACTGGAAAGTGATGAAATCATTTGCTGGAGACGAAAATATTTGAGAACTATAAAACAGTACCGCAGAGAGCACAAGAAAATTTTTTATCTTGATGAGACGTGGATAAACGAAGGTTATATAGTCCAAAAAATGTGGCAAGATAAAAATGTAACAAGCTTTCATAGAAGGCCTTTCGACGGGTATTAAACAGGGGATGATGACAGTTCTTCGGATGAAGACTATAGTGATGTAGAATTGTAATAACGTATCCAGTAAAGTTTTTGTAGTTTTTGTGAATAAATTGATTTAAACTCCCCACAAGTGTTTCAATTATGTAAAGTTCATTCGTGTGTGTTTGTGAGTATTTCCCGATTTCGGTTCGTATATATTTTATTGTTACATTTTATATTTTTTTAATAACACTGTTCTGCTGTATTACATTTTTATTTCCTTTAATATGATTTTTAAGAATGCATATTCTTTTGTCAATTAACCCACTAGCGCGCCTCTGGCTCAGTGTTTATCTGTCGATAACAATGGACTAATCCCTTAAAACAGGGTGATACCTACCTGCTCTTTATGAAACGACAGAATTTTGCAATGCGGACGGAATTTATTGACGGATTATTGACGGATTACCCTGTAGCGCTTTTGAATACTTCATGAGATTTTATTACTCTACACTCATTAGAAATAGATTATAGTTACTATTATTTTTTAAATATTTGTGCAATTTAATAACTCATCATTCTTTTATTTTATTCTTATGTATTCTTAGTTTAATTTTAATGATGTGTTAATAAACCTGATTACAAACCAAAAGAAGAATTTATTTATACTTTTCATGCCAGACAGAACTAAATGCTAAAAAGTATGCCAAAGTGAACCATGCACTGCAAGCATTGATAAAAGATCCTTAAAAATAGACAAAATCATGTGCTGTTGCTAAAAATTTAAAGAAATGTTCTTTTGAATAGGTCGTAATCCTTTTATACTTTATAAGAGATTATAATATTATGTGTATATTTTATAACATCTCTCTAACTTTAAACTGTCGTACTGAAAACTTTCAATTTCGGCTTTTGGTTCACTCTGGCATGAGACCATCCAATTATATTTCCTTTAAGATATATTTTTTTTATTTTTATTTTCTATTATTAAGCCTGTCGGTTCCACTAACAAAAAAACCCACATATCATATAATGTCACTTTATAGGGACATCTTTTTCTATAATAATAAATGAATGGTTTTGTGCTTTTTAAGCGCTGAACACGTATTTTGCCGTCCAACGAACAATATTTGTAAAGTAATTGGAAGCCTACGCACATATTGGTGTATTTCAAACAATTTTTGATCGATATAAACCATTTGTTTCAGGTAGACATAAATCATTTGTTTCTATATCTACATACTTTGTGCTGTGAAAATTGTACACAAACAATTACGTAGAAATCTGGTTTCTGATAAACAAAATCTGTAATCTTATAAAGTTAACTATAAAGCAGGGATCCAACGGAACGTGAATCGGCGTTCTTTGCCAGTTCCTGTCAGCAAAGAGAAATTAAAAAATTGATAATAGTGAAAAAAGGGACGGTTGGCTGGCCAGATTACTGTGAATTTAATAAATATTTACCTTTTAATAAAATTTACTCGACCTACCTTAAAATTTGGTCGTAAAATTTCAATAGAGCATGTCCCCTCGAATATCAAGAATTTAGTTTAGTTTAGTATGTTGTACGCCACCAATATTGACGGTAAAAATTTGAGTAAGTTGGTTGATTCAGATAATGATAAAAATTCCAACACAACTTTGTTAGACGACTCCAATATAAAAGGTTTGTTCCAACACGCTACTTTGTACGGTTTCGAAACGGTCACAAAACTGTTTGGCATCGATTTTATGCGCATTCTCCAACTTTGCACCGTTTGATTACCGATGCGAAGAGGAGACGAGTTGGAACGGATTTTGGCACTAACCAAAGCACCGCTTATTCTGTGGCACTGGTGATTGTTTGAGTTGAGTTCTGGCCATTCATTTAAAACAGAGGCCAAGAAAATAAAGAAGAAGAATTGGCTATTTGTTTGCTTGATGCCTTCTCGCTTGCCACCCGTCTTTCTTTCTTTCTGTATTGGAGCAGCTTGTTGGTAACATCTAGACCTAACACTTGTTTTGACTTTGTTTTTATTTTGGTTAAATAAAAATATTTACAAAATGGCGAACAATATACTATTTGGTAAGTAAAATTTGTTAGTTAAAACAATAATACATATTTGTATTATTATTATATTATATATATTTAATATTATATTATTATAATAATTGCAGATTTACCAGAATATGTAACATTTGAAAATGCTGTGCCCGGAACATCTTCGGAATTCCCACGTGGTTCTATAGCAACTTCAAACACGAAAGTTGAATATAAATGGAACGAAAATGATTCTAAATTATTATTAGATTTGTATTTAAAATTGAAATCTAAAGTAGGAACGTTGGAAATAAAAAATGCAAAAGTACTGTGGCTGAGAATAGCTGGAGAATTAAATAGTGTTGGCATACCAGCAACTCCCAAAAATTGCTTAAATCGGTGGAGGTTGCTGGAAAGAAACTATAAGAAATTTGTTGACAATCAAAATAAAACGGGTAAGTTTTTAATTGAACATGAATATTTTTAATTTTAAAATAAATATAATTTTAGCTAGAGGGCGTAAATATTTTGAGTACGAGAAGGAGATGGATCAGATTTTTGGAAACAAAAAAAACGTTAACCCCGAAATATTGTTAAGTAGTGATACTTACCATATAATAGAGGAAAAGAAACAGGATGTAGATGAGGATGTATGTCAGAATACTGAACATATTGAAGAAATTCCATGTACACAAACACCTAAAACGCCTATCAAAAGGCTTCGAAATAAAAACTCCGAATTACAAAAAATGAGAATGGACAGAGCAAATTATTACCAAGAAAGACTGGTGATCGAGAGGGAAAAGTTAGAACAACTTAAAAGAAGAAATGACGACATTGAGAGGAGAACAAAGATCAAGGAAGAAAAGAACATGCTAATTGAAGCACAAAATAAGCTCCTTGAAGAAAAAAAAAATATTTTAAAGCAAGCAGCAAAAGTTCCATAAATTCTTCATTATTTCTATTGTTAATATTACACACATAAAATTTACAACAGTGAAAATGGAACTTTGTTGCCTGATTTAAAATATCATTTTTTTCTTCAATTACTTTTTGCTTCAATTAGAAAGTTTTTTCTTTCAGTAGATCATTTCTTATTTTATTTTGTTGAAATTTTTCTCTTTCTATGATCATTACTCTGGCAATACTAATTTTTTCGAAGTCTTTTAGCAGGTATGTTTGGTATTGAGGTACATGGAATTTATATAATATATATATATATATATATATATATATATATTATATATATATATATATATATATATATATATATATATATAATTCTTTGGAGGGTAACTTTCGGGAAAGCGTCAAAACAAGGATCAGCTAGAGATGGTATAAGCCAGCTTGGTGTAGAACTTTATTCTATATGTGAAATTTTCGGTGATATGTTGTCACCTTCATCAGCACCTAAATGGAAAACCTATTATAGTACAGTGGTGGAAATCAACATTTAAAAACCTACATTGAAAATGTTCAGTTGGTCCTAGTTGTAAAAAACACTGTCACAAACATGTTAAAAATATTAAAAAATACATTTAAAATTTTGAATAAAAACATTACAAACAACAGGGTAGTTTTTCAAATACAAACACAACAAAAAATCTAAAATTTACAACCTACAAAAACTACAAATAGAAAAGAAGAATTAATCTTCTTTTTTGATGACATATTTCTGTCAACATCCGGGTGACATATGTAACGAGGTTATAATTTTCACTTTTGCACATCACAACCACATTCCATGTGGTTCTTGTTCAGAAGTGTATGTCGGTCAAACCAGCCAGAAACTCTCAAAAAGAATAGCTTTGCACAGGAGTGATGTTGTGAGGAAGCCCACCAGCACAGCATTTAGCCAACATATTAAGAATACTGGACACACTGCTAACTATGAAAATGTGCATAATGTGCAAGTACTAAAGAGGGTTGACAACCAATTTAAGAGAAACTTCATAGAAATGTGCTACATCCATAACTGCAGCTCTCCTATGAACTGTAAGAAAGATGTTGAAAACTTAAGTTGTATTTATTCCTTTCTACTTCAACAGGACTTGACAAGAAGTAACAAACTGGAAAATGTGGGGAACTTATCATGACATGCATAGATTACCTACCTGTGCTTTAGAGGGGACTTTATTTCCTTGCTTATTATGTTGCCTAGGGCTCTTTCTTTTCGTATCCATGTGGTTGTGATGTGCAAAAATGAAAATTATAACCTCGTTACATATGTCACCCGGATGTTGACAGAAATATGTCATCAAAAAAGAAGATTAATTCTTCTTTTCTATTTGTAGTTTTTGTAGGTTGTAAATTTTAGATTTTTTGTTGTGTTTGTATTTGAAAAACTACCCTGTTGTTTGTAATGTTTTTATTCAAAATTTTAAATGTATTTTTTAATATTTTTAACATGTTTGTGACAGTGTTTTTTACAACTAGGACCAACTGAACATTTTCAATGTAGGTTTTTAAATGTTGATTTCCACCACTGTACTATAATAGGTTTTCCATTTAGGTGCTGATGAAGGTGACAACATATCACCGAAAATTTCACATATAGAATAAAGTTCTACACCAAGCTGGCTTATACCATCTCTAGCTGATCCTTGTTTTGACGCTTTCCCGAAAGTTACCCTCCAAAGAATTGTATTCTTAGCGTCGTTACACACACTCTATTTATTTATATATATATATATATATATAATATATATATATATATATATATATATAATATATATATATATATATATATATATATATATAATATATATATATATATATATATATATATATATATATATATATATATAACCTTAAGCTGAGATTAACACTATTACAAGCATTAATATTAAACTCACCTGGTTTCAGGGATGAACCACATGGATTATTTTTGTTTTAAGCTTTCTGGGTCTCAGTCTTCTGAGCCCCCAGACACTAAAACACGAGACTGGTCACTAAACACTGCAGTACTTTTTAGTTTAGTGAACAGTGTAGTAGTGTCTGGTGGCTCAGGAGACTGAGACTCCTGAAGAAGGCATCAAAGATTTAAATAATTATTGGGTATAACTTTGATACCTTTATCATTAAAATGGGCTATTTTTAGCCACTATTTTTTATTTCTATAAGTTTGCTTTGTATTTTATATATAAATCTAATAATAATTTAGGATCTTTTCGGTTCCATTTATACTTCCATTCTAACACTTGATGTTTGTGTATCTTACAATAAACAATATTTGTGCTATATTGTTATAACTAACAAAAAATATTATATTTTTGCCAAATTTTAGCAATATATTATTATAAATTTCTAAAATTATTATTTATCAATTTAGTTCTTATTAATATAAATTTAATGTATATAATGTATTGTTTAGTGTATAGTGTTTATTGTATTAATTTGTGTTTATTGTTTATTTTATTATATATTATAAGACATAAATAAGTTACTTGTAGTATTACTTTTACCTGTTTTCTTTTGGGACTTCTATTCATCTAAAATGGAGGTAGCACTATATGTCTATATGTTTCAGAATATATACTTTGAAATATAAACAAAAGGTGGGCAAATAATTATCTATGTTGACAATATTTTATTATTGCACAAAACAAATATAATGAAAGAAATGCTTCATAAAATATAACAGAAAAGGAAGAGAATGACTAAATCAAGAAAATACAGAATATTATGATTAGGAAAAAACTCACTAAAAGAAAAAAATAAGTGGTAACACTTAAAATCTATGAGTGCCAATGGGTAAAACCAGAGAAATAATTCCAGGAATAAAATAAAACTTAAATTATTATTAATGTTTAGTTAATTAAAGTGCTTAATGAAAATGGCTAATATGCCGAAACGTTTAACCAATGAGTTTAAGTGTTTTTATTTATAACAGACCGACAAACCCAGATTGCTGCAAAATATAGATTGCTACAAAACATCATGCAAGGAAAAATAGCAGGCAAACGCAGTCCAGGACGAAGAAGAACCTCATGGTTGAAGAACTTGCGAGACTGGTATGGTGTAGATACAAGCATGCTATTTAGGGTGGCAGTGAATAAAATTAAAATAGCTATGATGGTAACCAACGTTCTGAAAGGACATGGTACATGAAGAAGAAGAAGACAAACCCAGGAATTAAAAATAAGTTTCTGTATATATATATATATATATATATATATATATATATATATATATATATACTTTTGGCTCATCATATATTAGATTTTGAAATAAAACTACTTACTATATAATATGAAACAAGGTTTTTTTAGTTTCACAAAACTATTGATTTATTGATAACAAACCTACTGTCAAAATTATACAAGATATATATAATATACAATATAAAAAAATACAATACAGTATAGGAATATAAAATCTAAAAAATTACAAATAAAATATTGATTTATTGATAACAAACGTACTGTCAAAATTATACAAGATATATATATATATATATATATATATATATATATATATATATATATATATATTATATATATATATATCTTGTATAATTTTGCTTAATGCGCAGGTCAGTCCAAACGTGATCCAAACGGTAATAGGTTTTGCCCGCGTACTGAAATGACGGTTTCGAAACCGTACATTGAACGATCACGAGTTGAGTTGGAACGCCAAAGGGACGGTACGATGAACGGTCCATTTTCAGTTGGAACGCATTTTATGTATTGCGCAGAAGCGTTGCCGTACACTGTACGGTTTCTGCATGAGTTGGAACAAACCTAAATTATTACGAAACTGACCCTATCAGCCCCTAGCCGCGTCCGAATCGTTGGAGGGGTAAATACCTGCTGTGCATAAGCTTCCGACCTTACCTTGAATCGTGTTGATTTACCTACAAATAACGGGACTGTCGGTGCCGACCATAAATCGATAATTTTGCCCCATCTTACTACACTACTTACCACAAATATTGAGGGAAGAACGTCATTGCACGTTGTATTAGTTACCGGCTTAACTAACTTTGTACTGGTGAAGAAGGCTACTCCACGTTTCGTTGGATCCCGGCATTCGAGTTAGTTTTGCGATAACTATCAACAGTTTTGTGTTTAAATATAGTTTACATAAATGGTATTTTTATGAAGCTCATATGTTTTTATAAAGTTTTTACGCAAGTTTTATGATTTGTAGCTTTTGGTTTAGGTATTTATTACAAGTTATGGTTTCTTTTTTTATTTGCGGAAATGTTAAATAATAAAAATCCCTTTGCTAAAGAGTGACTCTGGTACTATTTAGAAAATGGTGACGACTCAGAAGTTGCATTGTTATCAGACGAAGGGGTTGAGGTTGAGGATAACGAAGAACGAGACACGACTATTTAAGATAATTTTAAGATGATCTAGAAGATATGTAACTGAACAAATCATGCTAAAAAAATGAGTACACTGCAAATTTTAATTCAAATCAATTTTCAGCACAAAAACTAACATCGGTACTATTGTGTCAGAAAATAGCTAAGACGAACATGGACAAAGTGCTTCTTCAAGAACCATGGATAAATTAAGGTAAGATTGTAGCGTTTAAGCTACTGACTAGTCCAATTAAAACCCCTCAAGAAATTTCTTGTGATCCGCCAGCGATCGATTTTTAAATTTACATTTCTCTACCCACGCGCTGGGAGCGCTTTGAAAGGAAGATCGAGGTTGTGCGGAAGAAGTTTAGTTTGGTCAAGAAACTCGTACTACGCAGCCACGTCAGTCAATTCAAAGTGACGGAATTTGCCGTCAATCAGCAGTAAAATAATCTGGGACGAATAAAATAATATCTAATTCAATAATCATATCTCAATAATAATGAATAATAATAATTAATTTCTAAAATCAAGATTCATTTATAAGAGTTCCACATAAAAAGGAAGATTTTTTTTGGCGTGTTCCGGCTCTATGTAAGTAAATCATTTCATACGTATTATCTCTTGATCATACAA